TTGTAGGACGCTCTTGTGGGACACTCTTGTGGGACACTCTTGTAGGACACTCTCGTGGGACACTCTCGTGGGACACTCTTGAAGGACACTCTTGTGGGTCACTCTTACACGACCCTCTTGTAGGACACTCCTTGTGGGACACTCTTGTAGGAAACTCTTGTCGGATACTCTTGTGGGACACTCTTGTGGGACACTCTTACAGGACACTCTTGTGGGACACTCTTGTAGGACACTCTTGTGGGACAGTCTTGTGGGACACTCTATCTGGGACACTCTTGTAGGAAGCTCTTGCGGGTCACTCTTTTGTATACCATCCTGCTCACCAGCGACACGCCGCGTTTACCGATGCCCCCCAACCTACTACCGATGGCCCCAACCTACTACCGATGGCCCCCAACCTACTACCGATGGCCCCCAATCTACTACCGATGGCCCCCCAACCTACTACCGATGGCCGCCAACCTACCACCGGTGGCCCCCAACCTACTACCGATGGCCCCCAACCTACTACCGGTGGCCCCCAACCTACTACCAGTGGCCCCCAACCTGCTACCGATGGCCCCCAACCTGCACCGATGGCCCCCAACCTACTACCGGTGGCCCCCAACCTACTACCGATGGCCCCCGATGGCCCCCAACCTACTACTGATGGCCCAACCTACTACCGATGGCCCCCAACCTACTACCGATGGCCCCCAGTGGCACGGCGCCACGCAAACGTACTTTCCACCAAGGCCGCGCAAATCCCAATGGCGCTGCGACATCACGAACGTCGCGTGGCCACACGGTCTGCCCAGACACTGGAAGCAAACATGTCGCACGATACCACAAATCATCCCGCTCACCAGCGACACGCCGCGTTTACGCCAGCCTGTTTCGTGCTCCCCAGTGGCACGGCGCCACGCAAACGCGCTTTCCACCAAGGCTGCGCAAGTCCCAATGGCGCTGCGACGTCACGAACGTCGTGTCGCCACACGGTCTGCCCACACACTATAGAAGCAGTCATGCGAGCGTTTCGTACGAGACTTCCTCCTAAAGTCACGCGTCAAGTCTCCAAAACGAGCGTTTCGTACGAGACTTCCTCAAACTCACATGTCAAAGTCTGCTAAACGAGCGTTTTGTACGAGACTTCCTCCAAAAGTCAAGCGGAAACACCCATCGGAGCACACACACATCACGCAGCCCTGCCAAGCAGTTTCGCGATTCCAGCCCCTCCAAACAACGCCCGCTCACACGCTTGCGGACGCAGAAACAACGGGTCGCGAACAAGGCTGTACCCCCAGACCCCCAGAGTTAAACGAGAACCCTTCGCTATGCATTCGGGATCATTCGGGAGCAAAAGGACGAACAGAAAGAAATACGAAAAGGAAAGACGGAAAGGTCTAAAGGTGTAAAGAAAAAGAGCATAAACAACAGAAAGAGCCAATAAACATATTCAGCAACTTATTTTGTGCAACGTTGAGGACGTGCTGATGAAGAAAGAGCGGTCAAGGAGCTCTCAAGTGCGAAGCTCACAGAGTGAGTCACACTGAAGCAAAACCATGCTAGCTTTTAGCGTTGCTATTATAGCGTTCCATTTTGCGTTTAGCATTGCCTTTTTCTAAAAGCCTGTATAGAGCCCATCTAAGAGCGATGGCCTCCACCCTAGTAGCGATGGCCTCAGACTCAGACCCTTTTTCTTCTCAAGCAGACAAGGAAGTGGATGAAAAAACATCAGCTCTTGAGACAGATTCTGACTCTGGCGATCGAATGTGTTGAGCGGACAAAGTGCTGCTCAGCCAACTCGATGCACATTTGGTGGAAGTTTGAAGTGGGGTTTGGTGTTTGTTTGGTCGGTCTTCAGATGATATTGTTGCAAGAATTTCAAGTTTGGAACATGTTCAGGAAGACTTCGAGTTGGTGGAATAGTTTCGCTATTAGGCCAATGCACAAAGAAGCACTTGGCCTTTTGACACAGTGCTTTGATAGCCGAAACAGCGAGGAACACGCCGCAAACCGCGCAACAGGATGTTTACACTGCGGTTCTTAAGACCTGAACACAACTCGAGGTGCTTGAGCCGAATACCATGGGCCCATAAGAGCTGGAAACGAGGCAGGTCGTTGAAACGAAGCTAGAAAAGACGGGAGATCGATCGACGACAGCGGCACGTGATCTGCAGATTTCGCAGCATGTTCAGCAGCTGTTCAGCATTCAGCCAGACTGCCAATTTTCCGGATGTTCTTCAGGTGCCGCGGAAGGGCACCTTGGCAGAAATCAGTTGGTGACTCCCCCTTGAGATGTGTGTCTTCACGTGTCGACATGTGCTTTTTTTTTGCAGGTCGACATGTCGAATCTTGAAGAGTTGAAGAGACGACACAGCCACGGTTTCTTCACGCCAGATTCTACCCGGTCTACATCACAGCTGCAGTGCTTTTTGCAGCAATTGTTGGTTGGGTGTTCTCCTCAGTATGGCAGAGCTTAGTGATTCTTAGGTTTCACACTTAAGGGATGAACTAAAGGAGAGATGGAGAAGAGACTCTTTGCAATCGCACGAAGAACCGCAGCATTCCGTTCGGCTCAAGAGGGGCCGTGTGTTTGGCATCTCGAGGTGGGCCAGAGGAACCCTTGTTTTTTTTGCACCGCTATTAGGTTGGGGGCCATTGCCATTAGTAACAAGAAGCTACTAGTAGCAAAGGGCATCGCTACTAGGAGCAAGAAGCTATTAGTACCAAGAAGCTATTAGGTTGGAGGCCATTGCTACTAGGGTGGAGGCCGACTTGGACAATGCAGATCCGACTAGGGACTGCTGAAGGACGTGAAGATAGACGGGAGGATGTTGCTTTTGATCAGGCCATGGGAAAGAAAGGAAAGAAGAAGAATGCGGCGGCTGAGCCCGAGGTGGAGATTGATCCGGACCTGAAGGACCAAACCGTTTTCCTTTTTCTTTCTTTCCTTTGTTTCTTGTTACTTGAAAAGACATTCCTGTTACTTGTTTCTTTCATTCCTTTCTTTCTATATTTCTTTCCCTCAGATCTAGGTCTTACATTCCAGGAGCTAACAATCCCCAATGTCCGAGATCGCATCGATGCCCTGCAATATCGGCTGAGCAAGGCGTGGCAATGAGAACTGCCAGTCATGTGTGCTCTTCTGTAATGAAGTTGTGCATTTCATTTGTTTTGCCTCTTGACTATGACTGATACATGAGATACATGTTGGGATGTACGTTTCTGGTTTAGCTCGAGCCTCATTCCAGGCTGCGAAAGACAGAAATTATATGCAGCTGGAGAAAGCTACTCGCCAGATATAGCAATGACCATGTCAGAACTTTTCCGATAGCAACTGTCTTGCAGCTCTCCTTGCGCCCGAGGACATGGTCAACAGGCCAGGTGAAACAGCAATGACTGCCGCCCATGCCACCAAAATTGTAAAACCGTACTTTGACTCAGCTAGACGACGAAAAACGAACAACGACGATTCCAGGTTCTATGAGATCACCAAATCGGAAGTGAAGCAAATCGAGGCCGAACTTCTGAACATGGACCGTCTGGACCCAAGAAGCTGCGTTCGGGGCTCCTAGGAGCATTCTTGCTAGTAGGGAATCCCAACCAATTAGCAATGGCCTCCAATAGCGATCCCGCCCAATGGCGGTGGCTTGGCACTCGGAGCCTGAGGCAAAATGGAGATCCTGGAACGGGACTTCCGGGTTCATATCAAGGTTCATGAGCAGAAGGCAAGCCAGCCAAGCCAAAGAGTCGTTTAATTGTTCAAGCTCAATCTTTTGGGAGCGTTTGTCTGAACAGTGGTCGACTCTTCGATGCCATGCAGGTGCAGAACCTGGAGTACGAGCACAAAGAAGCAAAACGTCAAGTGCATGACACTGGTGAAAATGACCTGCAAAAAGAGTACCTTGGCATTAGGAGCAAGGACGCTACTAGTAGCAGCAGCATGAATGAGAGATTGCAGCTGGTTGGTAGACTCTGGATGTCACAGATGACCGAGAGATGCAAAGAAGCCTTTTCAAGGCGAGACATGCACTCTGAGCAGCTTCTCCAGATGAACAAGGACAGCCCAAAACCGGAGTCAGCTCTCGACTCTGCACCTGCTCACATACAATATCATACAATATCTCCTAGTAGTAAGGCACTTGTTTCTACTAGCTTCTTGTTACTACTAGTAAGGC